GGTATTATAGTTACTAGTGTTTGTAATTAAAGTTGAGCAAAGCTAATCCATTTACTTGTGTCTATAGTTTTCAAAATTGTTAGCTGTAAGTATTGCTCTCAGCAGTATAATGTCTTTCTCTTTTCCGCTATAAATATATCACCTAAACTTACAGCATAATTAGCAAGAAAAAAAAAAATCAAATAAATATTGACAGTACAGACTTTGAAGTTTGTACTTACTGTGTTTGCAGCCTCTTTCAGTTCAATAATGCAAGACTGCTAGCTGCCTTCAGCTTGAATGATTTGTTGCAAAAGCTAGTTTCAGTTTCTGTGGTTTTTTTCCTGTGACTTCCTTGTCTATAAAGACATCTAAACATAAAAAACATTGTCTAGAAACTGGTTAGGAAGATGAGAAGATGGAATCTTAGCTCTTGTCTCAGATTTCCTTAGGTATTCGCTGTATGCACTTTGGGCCATAAGGTAATTTGTGGCTGTGAGATTTGCTTCTTAAAGGGAGCTGAAGTCTTAACAAAAAAGAAGAGTATTACTTACCCCTAACAGAAATTTAAAGAAACATCATGATTATTGCCATTCTTCCTAGTCATTGATCATACTGCTGAGGCAATCTCATTGCTTTTTTTTTTGGAATTACATTGTTAATGAAGAAAGTCAGGAGGGAGAACTTCGGTGGACAAATGAGATGTATTTCATCTGGCATATGATTTTTCTTACATCTGTGTTTCCTATTTACCAGCTAAGTGTGTGGTCTTGATCAAGATAGGATACAGAATCTGTATCTGATGTTAAGGGTCCTACAGATTCCTCTGCTTTGTAGTCTTGAGCCATTCCGTTTAAAGATTTAATAGTAGTCCACCCAAGCAGATACAGTTCTGTGAAGTATTAAAACCGCCAGTAACTGTGGCTGGGCAATAATGTACTTCTGGTTTTTGTATATGCGCGTTGAGTAACGTAGACTAATCTGTGAAGCTACAGTAAAAAGAAAAAACCCAAACCCAACCAAAACTGAAGCCCAACCCATGAAAGTAAGTCTGATAAAATTTTGAACCCATGCTGCTGTTTGACTTTTAGTTTCCTACTCCATCCTGTCCCTGTGGACAGCAGCCACAATGGCCTGGTAAAACATAAAGTTTTGAATTGAAAGATGGATGAAGGAAGTCAGAGTATTAGAAATAAATACATTCAAAAGTTATCTGTCTTGTTTTTCTGCTGAAAATGCCATTATCTTCAGGTGTTGAACAAGTGTGGAGCTGTCCAAAAGGAGGTCTGTCACTAGAGGTTGTGTTTTGGTTTGTTTTTTTTCAGAAAGCAGTTGACTTACTGCAACAAATTTACTACATTTTAGTGTATGTTATGAGGATAAGTACTTTCAGAATAAACTTGAGTTATTATGTGTTCAACTTCTAAAATACCACAAGGTTTTTTGCCTACTGTCTGGACAGTAAAATTTTGGTTTACATTAACAATCTCAGTGTAATCTCAATTGTTACAACTGCAGCTGCTTTTATTTAGTGTGGTTTGCTTGCTCAGGGTTGTATTTAATTCTTGTTCTGAGGTCTCCATACCGCATCCCCAGTTATAACTCAAAAGTCAGAAAGAAAACTTCTTAGCAACCACTGCCTCAAAATGATAGTGAAGCTTGTTTTATATAGGAACATAGTTTTTGAACTGACAACTCTGGGGGATGGATTCATGTCCCAATGGATGGGGATAGGTTAAGCTTTGTTTTGTCTCCACAGACTTACTAGCTCAAGTATAGACCAACTCCTGCATCCATACCAGGCTGAATCCAGAAATATTTGAATTGCTTTTGCTTAAAATGAAGCCTAAGCTAAAGCCTTGTGAATTAGAGCCGGCTGTGTGAGAAGCCAGCTCGGATGCTATCCTGTACTGCTGTGGAGCTGGCTCTGTGCTGCTGTATCTTGGCTCCAATATTGTGTCTGAGACAGTAAGTGCTGCTTCAGGCTGTGAAACTGGTCAATACTGTGCAGAGAGAGACATTTGAGTAGTTCTGCAGCGCTTGTCGTGTGTTGAAATAAACGGTGACAAGCCTTCCCAGTCTGGCATGGCTGCTGAACAGTAGATATTATGGCCGCTGCACTGCTTGTGCATCACCCTTTCCATGCTTAGCCTCTTATCCATGTTTTATCTAGTTCGTTCTCAGGCCTGAATCCTAGCCTACTGCTGCTACACATGTTGGAGCGTGGCATGGCAAGGCCCATGTCACAGGCAGCCTTGGCAGCCAGTGTCCAAACTCAACAAAACACATCCTTATTCAATGCACTTGCAAGCTAAGTGGTTTGGAGTGGTAATCTTGTCAGATTTGAAATAAGAAAGCAATGGGGAAAGAATAGAGCCACTTTTGAAGTTCTGAATTCAAATTTGAGAGTCCATATCTAGCTTTGAGGTCTAGACTTCATACAAGCTTTTGCGCAGGTGACTCTCATCAGTTTCACTTGTATAAAAGTAGGTAGCTGTGCTTTTATTCCCACCTAGGAGAGAAGGAAGATTCGGTTAATGTCTGAGATACTTGGGTTGCAGTGATAACTTGCATATATGCTGTGCAAAGGTGATTTGAATTATGTAGTCCTTTTGAGTAAGATATATGTAATAACTTATTTAAGACTTGAATAGTATCTGAGTTTCAGAAGATAAGCTAAGGCATTCATTAACTCTGGTTCTCTTTTCTAAAATCTTAGGCTGTTGATGATCATTGCTAGTGACAAGCATTTCTGGTTCTGCAACAGCTCAACTAAATTAAATTTATATAATGTAAAACTGACTTTAAAAGTTTTGTTGTTCCAGTACTATGTAGAGTACACAGTTCTTGGAAGTAAAATTTTGGTTTAGCAGTGCTTTTGTAGTGGCCTTCTGGTGCAACATATAATCTCCTTGGACTAATCTTTCAGTGAACAAAGCAGGTCCTAAGAATGTTGTATTAATGCTTGGTTTAACTTAAAATAATTTTCTAATCTCCAAGTTAAACGCTTGTTCAAAGACTATGTTTTGTTTGTCGGAACTGCCGAATGTGTTGTAGAAATTTCTCCACACAGCAAAGCTGTGCTGCTGGTGCTAAAAAATGTCAGCAGGGTGGAAGAAGAAATGAGAAGAGAAAATGAAAACGGCTCTTCAGGTTTTGTTTTGTTTGGTTTGGTTTGGGGTTTTTTTGTTGTTTTTGTTTTTTGTCTTTTGCCTCTTAAGGCTAACTAGGGAGTAACTTCAGTCACTTCTCAGCTAAATTGTTGACTGTGAACAATCCATTAAGTTTCTTAGAAATCTTTCGTATAAAATTGAAGTGGGCATGAATGATCACTTCAGAGGGTGTTACAGTTTGATATTATGACTAGCTTGGGTTTTCAAGGCTTTGCCTCTTGCCTGTTTTGGAACATGGCTTAAATGGTGTGTTTTCATTAGATTATTGACAGAGTCTAGGATTACAACTGGCTCCATAAAAGTGCAGTAAAAACTATTTAAATGCTGTTTCACTCCAGAAGATATTTTACTTTCTTCACTACTAATACTAATTTACATCTTTGAAGTGTGATTATTTTTTATAATTTAGAAACTGTCTTGAAGCAGAAGTCCATTTAAATTTATTTACTGTGTGCTTCTGGTTTTTTGTAAACAAACATCTCCATACTTTCTCAATTAAAGTGCCTGCTAGGATATTTAAGTACAGGGTACACCATATATAATATTTTTTGGTACAGTTTAATCCTGTTTCGTGGACTAAAATAAAACATCTGTACATCAAGCAGAAATTATACTCATCATAGCATTTCTAGATGTTTGATAGCAAAATTAACAAGTGGGAAGTACTGTGACAAACAGTAAGTTTGTCGTCAATCTTGGACCACAGGTGTACTGGTAATTTTGCGTAGTCAAATGGGAAGGAACGAAATTGTGCTTGTATGTAAGTAAGAATGGGAGGCAAGGTTGTGTATTCATGGTATAATGCATGAGTATTTGATAATATACCTCACAGTTAAAGATTTGTGTAATTTAGATGCCTACTGACTTATATTTTAATGCATGCGTGTGTATTAATTTCTACTGTACACGTATGAGCTAAGTTTAGAAACTAAAACTTCCCCTAATTCCACTTAAGGTTAAATATGCTACATCTAGGAAAAAAAATGTGACATGGTTTTCTTTCAGGAATGAAGACATTAACTATAACATTAAAGGGGAGGGATTCTTGTGCATTTAATTCAGTAACTCTGCAAAATGAAAGCCTATTTTACTAGAATTGTCCAGAGAATAGCTTCTCATCAAGGTCTTTTTTTTATTATAAATTAAATTTTTAAGCTCCTGTTTTAGCTGTACACCTCTCAAAAAAACTATCAGTTTTTATTATTAAATTATCAGTTTTATTTTCATTTAACGAGCCTCGTTAAACATATTAGATGGTTTGGGGGGGAAAAAATGCTTGGAGGCAGGCACCAGGGCATTTTAGATCATTAATTTTCTGAAGTCTGTAAGCAGCTGACGACAGAGGCAAAATGTGTCAGTTTGGCTTGCACAAAGCAGTTACTCTACTTGTTTAGAGCTGTGCGTGTCACTGTGAGATCTCAATTGTATATAAAGGGCATTTGTTTCTCTGGATGTTGATTTAGCATAGTATCTTTCCAGTTGATACTGGATGTGAAATGAGCATCTTGGCTATATTTAAAAATATTTTGCATGTTAATTGGTCATTGTGGTTAAAAATAATGGCAAGACTGTTTACTGTGATTTTATGACTTAATGTTTTGGAAAATAAATGTTGCAATAATGAAAGCTTACGCCTTTTAATTGGTAATACAAATAATCAAAGGCTTGGTAATATATATTGCTTTTTTATTTCCTGTTTTCTTCTGTTTAGGTAAAAAACTTTGCTGTTATTTATCTCGTGGATATCACTGAAGTACCAGACTTCAACAAGATGTATGAGTTGTACGATCCCTGTACCGTCATGTTTTTCTTCAGGTACATGATGGTTCTAGAATGTAACTCAGTTAAATTTTTTGTGTGTCAAATACTGTGTCTCAGTAGATCATTTCTAAATGCATATCAGCATACTGATTAAATAGGAAAATGGTTTGTTTTCCAATTAGCCTAGTAATAGTGTTTTGATAATAGAGTAAAAATTAGTGAAAACTGTTTTTATTATCCATTGTTTTTAGTTTTAAATCTGAAACTGCCTGTATAGAATACTGCAGTAATACGGCAGTCAAGCTTGTCAAACTTGCTTTAAAGATATACCCAAAGTGTTAAGGTTTTTTGGAGCTCAGGCATTTGCATTGATGAGATAAAATGTGCTGCTGACAAGCGTGGAACTCTCTCTGGTGTTAGACAGTAGTGGAAAAGAAATATAAACAATGAAGAATATGCTGAAGGATAATTGCAGTGAGTAGCAGTCATGGAAGCATGTTTGCAGTCTTTGTTCCAACTTTAGAAATAGGCAGTAAAATGTCAACTTGAGTGACAGGAGTGGATACTCATTCTTTGAGGCTTATTTTTCAAGCCTGTTTATGTTATAAGGGCTTCTTTTGAATCCTACAAAACATTCTTCTGGGGGTTATAATGTTTCTTTCTGAATTATAAAACCGTATTAACTTGTCTGGTTTTTTTTTCTCTCCCTTTAAAGGAACAAACACATCATGATTGATTTAGGTACAGGTAATAACAACAAGATCAACTGGGCAATGGAAGATAAGCAAGAGATGATTGACATCATAGAAACTGTTTATAGAGGAGCCCGCAAAGGTCGAGGTTTGGTGGTATCACCAAAAGATTATTCCACAAAATACAGATACTGACATTTCTTTGGGGCTGCCTTTTTTTTAACCCTATGTCCACTTAAATTTATTCTTGTGTATGTGTGTACATATATATATATATTAAACGAAAAAAACCTACAAATCGTTCAACTTTGAGCATATTCTGAATTATTTAAAAGGTTTGAATTCTGTTTGGAAAAGTAAAAGATATGAAGCCTGGAACTGTCTGTCTGCAGTAATACTGTAGATGAATTTTGGATTGTTTTTTTATTTTTATTTTTTAAAGACTTTACTCTGTTGTCCTTTGGGTATGATGTATTTTTGTACACAGAAAAACATTTCAACTGTTTTTGTTTGCTTTTATTACACAAATATGTGTGAAAACTATACTATAGCTTTTTTAAAAGAATAGAATCAGTTCCACTTATTTACCTTAATTTTCTTTAGCTAATTAAATTTGAGAATTAAAACAAATGTCATTAGATGCAGAGTCATAATGTTGAAGATGAAGGCTTATCACTTCTGTCAGGATTTTCTTGCATAGTATCTTGGTCTTCTGTATCCACTAAAAATAGGAAGAAAACACTAAAGTGCATTTATTAATATTTAGCAGAACTCTGAGAAAATATCTTCCATGACTCCCCCCCTCCCCCCCAACTTGATTGACTTGTGGTGACGGACTTCTTTTTCATGGTGATTATGCATACAGTAGTCAACTTGAAGTACTTAGTAGATTCTGCAGTGCCAAAGGGTAACTGCAGTTCTGGAGCTGGCTGCATAGTCAACAGTTGAAGAAAGGATAGGCTGTGCTTTCTCTCATTTGACCTCCGGTTTGTCTAATGGTATACTAAAATGCATATATACTCATGAGGCTTGGATTAGATTCCACTGTGGCATGGCTTTTGAAGTTTCCATTTGCATTTCTGACAACTTTTGTTCTGTAGTAATGGAGCCAGTGTTGCGTGGGTTTTTTGGTTTTGGTCTTTTTTATTTTAAACTGGTACATGCATATTTACAGGATTGAGCAAAAACAAGCCAGACTATGCAGAAAGGAGATACCTGTACTTTTGGTCCGGTTTGTCACAAGACAAAGTGGAATATGCTTTTTTACCATCTCTGTGTTTTAGAGGATTTAGTCATAAAAGTAAAATTAAATTAATCTGGTGGTTATTACAGTGGTTATTACAGTGGTTATTAATTATGGAATCATTTATGTTGGAAGGGACTACTGGAGGTCTAGTCCAGCCTCCCAAAGTAGGTCCCACTTGATCAGGTTGCCTAGGACTGTCCAGTGTTGAGTATCTCTAAGGATGGAGATTCGCCAGCCTTTATGGAAAGCCTGTTCTGCTGCTGGAGCACCCTCATAGTTGAAAAGTTCCTTGCATCTAGCTGGACTTTCCTGTGTTCCAGCTTGTGTCTATTAACTCTCTCGTGTAAAACACCTCCAACAAGAGTCTAACTGTTCCCCATGCTCAACCATGGGGTAGGTGTAGCCAGAAAGAAAGCCATAGTCTTTTCTTACGGCTGGACTAACAGAATTCTCTCAAACCCTCATATGCTTTGTGCGCCACCATATCTTGGTGGCTCTCTTGTTTAACTGCCTCATAACAATGTATTTCTTGAACTGGGAAGCCCCAAAATTGACACAGGATTCTGGGTGTGGTCTCACAGGAATTGAATAGCGGGGAATGGTGCCAACAGTGACCAGTATGTGGCTGCAGCCTTTGTTGCCAGGGCACCCTGCTGACTCACTTTCAACTTTTCCACCAGACCCCATGCCTTTCCTGTAAAGCTGCATGCCAGCCAGCCCCTCACAGCTGCACTGCAGCATAAGCTTTCCCTGTCCTAGAGGTGAGGCTTGGCACTTGCCTTGGAACTTCATGAGGTTCCTGTTGGCCCATTTCTCCAGCCTGTCCTCTAGCACAGCAACCTCTCCCCCCAGTTTGACATTGCTTGCAAATCTACACTGATTAAAGCATTGATTAGAATGATTTCTTGATAGAGATGAAGAATCTATAAAAGATAAGTATTAACACCTGCCAAAGTTTTAAAAAGTGTATTTATCCTTCATTAGCTGAGGTATTCTATTCACCTGGTAATGCTTCAATTTCTGCATTTGTTGCAAGAGGTTCCTGTTAAAGTTTCAAACAAAATCTTTCCTGCCAAAAGTGCCAGTGTTTTGGTGTACAAGAACCTTAAAGTTAGTGCAGATGTCCTGTTTTCTTTGACTCTGCCACAAATTCCTATCTATCTCAAAGTCTTTAGGCTCTTTCATCAAAATGGCTAATGTTAAATAACTGAAATGGGCACAGCATGCATACCTGGATGATGTTATCTGCACAGGTGTGCTCAATTTTGGGTGGGCTTGTGGAAAGAGTAACAACAACTGTAATCTCTGCAAATACTGCTATTTCCTTTAGTGCAGAACAGTTTATCTTCATTGGACCTACAATATTTTGCAAGGGCACCGTTGTAATAACGTCAAATAAGATGAGGTGCATTTTGTAAGGTAAAACATTTAAAGGAGCATCAAAATGGCACACGCAAATGGAGAAGTTTTGTCATGGAAGGATCTTGTTATTCTGAGAACGTTTAAGTTAAAAAGGCAACAAAGAAATATGATGAAAATTTTAATATTATTAAAATAAATGAAATACATTTTCATACATTGAAAAAGTTTGTGACTGGATAAGTTCACTATATAGGATATAGTTTTCTATCCAAAATAGTGGTTTTGCCTCCCCTGAACCTAATAGTTCTTTCGCAATTACAGGAGACACAGTGTCCCATTTAGATGAATAAACCCAGCTTTCCACTTCTTTTTCCTGGAGCAATAGTTTAAAAAAAATCATTTGAGATTCTGTTGTGACATGATGCAAGTGTGTTTGTTTTCACCGACGCTTTTTGTGACTAGTGACACTGATTGTAAACTCCCAAATTCAGTGCGGTGCTCTCCCTTTATCTTTCTTGATCACATCCTCATTTCAGTGCTGCAAAGAAACCATGAATAAGTAGGTTAGTGGTTTAATTAGTCATGAATGTGATTCAGCATAAAAATAGGAAGATCTCTGTACAGTTAAATACATCTTAATGGATTGTCTTTCTGTATTTCTGAAAATTGCTACATAGCTTATCACGAAAAAGTCATCAGAATGAGTACATACCTAAATTACTTCAATATATTTACAGACATTCCTGTCTTTCACTGGGTAAGCAGTCTCTAAATGACAAAAATAGTTGATGTGTCTCAGTTTGAATCAGGAAAGTGTGTAACAACAGGAAGAAGACATTACCCGCACCCACAGAACACGGAAGCAATGCTGTCTTGTAAATACTAAGAACAGCAACTAAGGCATCCATCGGGGCAGGGGAGTGCCATTTGCAACAGATAATGATATAAAATTTCGCACGCAATCCTGAACTGTAGCATGATCTTATATTATAGTGTTTGACAATAATACTAAAGTTATCCTTGCTCTTTCCATCCCCCATCTTACAGCTGCAAGAACAAACAACTGCTGTGTTCAGAGGTGTGTATTTAAGAGGTGTGCTCTGAGCCATGTTGGGAAGTTGAAGCAGGTTTAAAAGCAGATGTACATAAATTTATACCAGTGAGAATCCTCAGTCAGCGAGGTTAGCATACTTGAGGGACAGGAATGGTGGGCAGGAGTGCTTTAAGCCACACACATTTTATTACAAACGTACAGCCTCAGTTTACATATTTGGGATTAGTTTGCACTACCCCTTGTATGTGGCACTCGATGCATCAAGCTACACTTTCTCTTTTGAAAAAGCGGTAGCATTCTTTGGCTCTTGGCAAAAAGAAATCCAAGGTAACTGTAAACATTTTTAAAAAAATAATCTCAGTATACTTTAAAATCCAAGGAAATGCAGGTATGATAAATATATAAACAATATTTTCATGCTAGGTGCTGCCCATAGTTCAAAACTAAGTGGAAATACATAAAATAGAGTAAAAATTGAGTTTCTTTACTCTCAACTCTTCATCGGCGTTTTCTATCCCAGCCTCTGTCATCAGGTCAGCAACATGCTTCTCAAGGTCATCAATGCGCTCGCCCATTTCTTCCAGTAAAAAGTTAAAGATAACTTATTTATAAATAAGAATAATGTAATTTAATAGTTTTTTTCTTCTGTGAGAATAACAAGAAGCTTTCTTCCAGATGTCTCAGCCTCTTAACTTACTCATGTTTAAGGCAAGATGAAGCATGCACAAAGTTGTATTGCTACAAGACAATCACACTTTCTCTTGCAACAGAGAAGCATTCAGGTTCTAAATATTTTCAAATACCTTCCTGCATGCCCATGAGTGAACTGGAGTATTTTCTGTGTAAGAGATTGTTTTCTTTCCGAGGAACTATTTTAGGTGATACCATACAGTCAGCCTACACAATCAGAATACGAGTGCTGCTAAAACATTATTCTTCTCTTACGCTAAAGCAGCGGCTTCCTGAAAGGTCGAGTTTCAGAAAAAATAGAAAATGTAATAAATTCCCAGTTTCAGAAAGCAGAGGTAGTTGCTGTAAATACATCTAATGAGAAAGCTCAGAGCCCTTTCAGGTCTTAATTTCTCTTCCCACGCTCAGGAGGCCAACAGTTGTTTTTAAACCAACAACGTGCGGCGATACACTGATTTAAGTGGCATTTTTGAAGATGGTTGCTTGTTTAATGTACCTTCAGAATCTTTACACGCGATTTGTTGCTTGTTTTACTTGAAGGTAAGAATTGCCGCACTGGGAGTTGATACTACTTTTAGTAAAACCTTTTTCAGGATTTCCTTCTTAGTAAAGAGGAAAATAAACGGGCTTGGGGGGCAATTCACTTGTCTTTACGTCATAGGTGTTTAACAATGTCAATCATTACAGCTTAATTCGGTGCTGAGGGCAAAAGCGCACCCCGCTGCTGAAGAGCAAAGCCCCCCCTTTACATCCAGGCGCGGGGGGCACCGAGCCCGGCGCGGCGGAGGAACCGCAGCCGCAGGAGCCCGGACC